GACCCCACTGAGGCCTGGCCCCGCCCATGTTCTCTCACCTGACCCTGCCAAATTGAAGTTGAGCTATCCAGAGACAATTGTGCAGTTTTGAGCTCAGAGTTTCCCTGGTCCAATTAATGGTCATAAGGTTTCTGGGCAAAGAAGACCCTGGGACTGAGAGCTTCTGGATCATTTTTTTTGGATCTGGTCATGGGGCCTGAACTCTGGGCCTGGGCGCTGTCCCTCAGCTCTTCAGCTCAAGGCTAGCGCTCTACCACTTGAGCCACAGTGCCACTTCCGGCTTTTTTCTTTTTGCTTCTGTGGTGCTGAGGAATCGAACCCAGGGCCTCATGCATGCAAGGCAAGCGCTTTACCACTGAGCCAACTTCCCAGCCTGCTTCTTTCTGGATCATTCTTAGCCTGAGACAGTGCTCCAGGACCTGGAAATGCTGACTCCAGAAGAGCTCAGGGCAGCACCAGCACTGAGGCCAGGCAGAGGGAGAGCAGGATGTGGGAGCAATGGCAGAGGGTGAGAAATCACAGCCCCTAATGAGGAGACTGGAGGAGAGAGGTGGGGTAGTGCATGGCTACCCCAGGACACCTAGGCCAGAGGCAGGATGAAGGGAGGGGAAGGAGGGGAGAGCTGTGAAGATCCTCCCCCACCCCTGCTGCAGATGGCACTTGCAGGAAGATTGGTGGGAATGGGGCAAAGTTACCACCTAAGTGAGAATGAGGCCTTGATCTTGTCACAGTGCTGATTGGAAGGGCCTGAGAATAAGGAAAAGACATGGAGGAAGACTAGGTGTTAGTGAATTGAGTCCCTTCCCATAGCTTAGCCTGCTCCTTCCCCGCTCCACAGCTTGGCACGCTCCCTTCCTAGGCAACACTAGGTCCATGTAGTAAAGGCAGTAAATAATCAGGCTCCAGCCCCCTTTGCCTTGGGATGGCACTCCTCTGGGCAGCTGCCCCCCTATAAGGCAGCAAGAGCCCCTGAGAGTGACCTTCAGGTCTGGGCAGCTGCAGGGCTCCATATCTACTACTTGGGCAGCAGCCATAGATCCTAGTCCACCATGATGAAGCCCCTGGCCCTCACCTCCACACCGGGGTCTCCTAGCTCCATCTGGCTCCTCACACACCTCCTCGGTTATATAGGTCACGTCCAACAGTAGCCGGGGCTGCTTCTCACTTCTGCCTCGTGAGAAGGGGTCTGGCCGCCCCTTTCCCAGCAAGAAGCCTTTCTCTGTGCCTGGATGTCTGCCTAGTTCTCTGGCAAAGTCTAATCATCTTTCAGCAGGGATCCCTGAATGCCCAGGTTGGGAGAAGCTCAGATGGTGGGGAGCACGGCAATGGGGTCATGGGGAGCAGGTGTGGGGCGGGGGGCTCTCGAGGCAGGAAGTGGAGGACACCTCCATCTAAGCTGCTGCGCTGCGTGCCAAGCAGAGCAGGAGGCGGCAGAGGCAGGGAGCGCGACTCCCTGAGAGATTCTGAGACAGTTTCTGTGGAGATGGGGAGCTGGCAGGCCACCCGGGCCCTCTCCTGAGGGACACCCCCAAAAGCATCAGAGATTTCAGATAGGAAGTTATCATGGACCTGTCAGGAAATCTCCCTCAAGTCTCCCAAAGTGGTTGTTGTTACTATTATTTTTTGGCAGTTCTTGGGCTTGAACTCAGGGCCTGGGCACTGTCCCTGAACTTCTTTTGCTTAAGGCTAGCACTCCAATTCTTGAGCCAGAGATCTACTTCTGGCTTTCTGGTGGTTAACTGGAGGTAAGAATCTTATAGCCCTTCTTGCCTGGGCTCGCTGTGAAGCTGGAGCCCCCAATCTCAGCCTTCTGAGTAGCTAGGATTACAGGCCTGAGCCACCAAGCCCAGCTCCAAAGTCCTTTTGAGATGGCACTTAATCCAGAAACATGCTTGAAAGTGTTAGTAGTTTTTAACCAGTTTACTTACTATTTTAATTACCCACTTAACCTAGGAACATTTTCTGCCCAGTTTCAACAGCTCTGAGCCTTTATCCTTCATCCTTTCCTGTGTATCTTCCCCCGCTCTGATCTGGGGATCCTTCTCTGCTCTGCCTGGAAACTAGGTTTATTGGGGGTGCGGGGTGGGGAACTGAGGTCTTGGGAGAAGCACCAGAGGATTTTCCAAACTCCTGCTGAGTTTGAGGTGCAGCTGCCCTGGCCAGCCAGGCCCTGGTTCTGGGCCTCCATCCCCCCCACACACCAGGAGGGGGCGCTGGAGTCCTGGCCTACAGGACACAGTGGCCATTGGCCCTCTTCTCTTCCTAGACTGAAGATGGTGCTGGGATTCTGCTGCCAGAGAGAAGGGTAAAGTTCATTATCTGGGCCCCAAATAATCAAAGATGGGGATCCCCTACCTGGGTTGAAGATTGTGAGGTGTCTGGGAATTGGGGTAAGGGGAAGGAGCTATGTGTGAGCAGCAGAGCTGATGGCCTGGTCCTGCAAGGTGGGACATGCCTCGGTGTATGTGAACGCCTATCTACGTACGTGTGTGTGTGTGAGTGTGTGTGTGTGTGTGTCTGTCTGTTTCTGTGTATGTCTCTGTGTGAGTGTGTGTCTGTGTATGTCTCTGTGTGTGAGTGTGTGTGTGTGTGTGTATATGTGTGTGTGTGTGTATATGTGTGTGTGTCTGTCTGTTTCTGTGTATGTCTCTGTGTGTGTATGTGTCTGTGTATGTCTGTGTATGTCTCTGTGTGTGTTAGTGTGTGTGAGTGTGTGTATGTCTCTGTGTGTGAGTGTGTGTGTGTGTGTCTGTGTCTGTGTATGTCTCTGTGTGTGAGTGTGTGTCTGTGTATGTCTCTGTGTGAGTGTGTGTCTGTGTATGTCTCTGTGTGAGTGTGTGTCTGTGTATGTCTCTGTGTGTGTGTTAGTGTGTGTGTATCTGTGTATGTCTCTGTGTGTGAGTGTGTGTGTGTGTATGTGTGTGTGTGAGTGTGTGTGAGTGTGTGAGTGTGTGTGTGTATGTGTGTGTGTGAGTGTGTGTGAGTGTGTGAGTGTGTGTGTGTGTAATCAGGGAGCCACTGTCCTGGCTGTGCCACTCTGTGCTTGGGACAAGCAGGACCTGTGCAGGAAGGAGGGCTGTGGGCAACTGTGGGGAAAGAGCGAATGTAGAACAAAATGCCCGGTGGTGCCAGTCCAGTGTAGCGGGGTTTAGCTGGGGGCTCTCCTGTTGGGCTCTCCCTCTGGGCAGGACAGACCCAGTCAATCACTGCAGGGGAAAGGAGGAGGGAGGATCCAGGGGTGCATTGTGGGCTCTAGGCCAGGCAGGTAGCAGCGCTCAGCCCAAGGCCTGGTGCCCTGAGATGTGTTCAGCCTCAAACGCTGAGTGGAGGCTGCCAGGTGGAGGAGGCTTGAGGCTCAGAAGAGGAGGAAAGTGGCTCCCACTGCCAAGGGCCGGCGGCCGGGCTCATGCTCATGATGCCTTCTCTCACAGGCTCCACAGGTCCCTGTACCTGGTGCACATCTTCATTCTTGCAGGTAAGGGCTGAGGGCTGGGAGGGGCATGGCAGGGCCTGGAACCTGATCCCAACCCAGTCTCCAGCTGCTCACCAGGCTTCCACAGTGCCAAGGCTGTTAGAGGCCTGCCTGCCACAAGGACTGGCACTGCTCAGAGCCAAGGCGGCGCCAAGGCCCTTTCTTCCCCCTCAGAATGAACTGGGGATTTGAACCCACCTCTCAGTCTAAAGTCTACTTTGGGCCATTCCTAAGTCACAGACCAACCAAAGCCCACACAACCACTCCAGGCCCTAGGAAGGGAATCATACAATTCCCAAACACCAGGACACTAGCCACACCACCACGCACCGCCACAGAGTGCAGGTCACACAATCATGAAACCACTAGAGTAGACTTCACACAACAAAACACCCCAGAGCTGACACCGGACAACCACATAACACCTCAGGGCAGAGGTCACGTAAACACACAATGCCCCAGGAACGACATCACAGGCCACACGGCATGCTAGGGTGGAGATCACAGAACCATACAACACCCCGCAGAGATCAGCCATCCACACTGCATCCCGACGCAGATCCCATGTGCACTTCCTCCTTTCAGGGGCCCCAGGCTGCCCGGGGAGCAGGGGCCGTGCACAGACAATACACCACATTCCCTCCTGCCAACACAGCGCCTCGGCTGCCAGCCTGGGCTGCCAGGAACTGCTTGGCGGCTGTTTTCTTCTTTGCCTTTATATCTGCCCCAATTCAGGGGCTGCATTTGCTTCCTCTTTCCTCCAGGCCTGTTCTTCCCATTGGGCTCACCCACAGTCCACCTGGACTTTGTGGTTTCTCTGTCATGTCTCCTTAAATGGGGGCCCCACCTCATTCATCCCTACACCTGCCCTGAGCGAGGATGTAGATCAACCAGGATCACAGCGACAGAAATCACAGCAGAAAGATAGGAGTTGTGATTTTCTCATTATAGAAGGGGAAACACAAGCCCAGGTTCACCTAATATAGTGACAAAGGAAAAAGGGGATCTCTCTCTCCCTGTCTCTCTCCTTTTATGTCCCTATCACTGCACAAGGGCAAGCCCGCCCTAGGGCCCCAGCCCACAGGTCTCCATGTCTTTTCCCTGGTAACCTTTCTGGCCACTGTACTTGAGGGAAGCAGGCTCAGATCCTTGACCACAGCCTCCCACTCCAGCCTAGCCATAGAGGAAACTTCTCAGCCCATAGGGGACAGAACACCAGCTTGCCTGATGGGCCAGGGCAGCTGGTCAATGCTGTGTCTTGGGGCTGCAAGGCTCAGCAAGGTGGCTCCCTGATGGTTCCCATCAGGCCTTGCCAGGGAGACTTTGGCTCCTGATAACTAACTGTGGATGTTAATGCTGACCCATTTCCTGCCTTCCTGATGTACCTACTTCTTTGGGGTCTCAGGTAAGAAGTTGGGGCTGGGCGCATAGCCTGAGTGGCAGAGGCCCTTCCCAGCAGATTCATGGCTTGGAACTCAAACCCAGCACTGTCCCTTCTGTACCCAGAAAGGAAGCAGACACAGTGGTGGTATCTGAGAGGCCTCTCCTTGCCATGGGGTTTTAGAGATGGGGCTGAAATAGGGTGTCCAGATGCATCCTACCCCCCTCCTTCACCCGAGCACTGATACCTCCTCCTGACACAGGCGCCATGGAAGGCTCTGTTCATGACTTGGGCAGAAAGCCTTGTGTCCCGGGAGGATTGCGGGTGATGCAAAGGGGGCTGTTGAGGTTCCACATAGCACCATTAGGGTGCAGAGGTGACACACAGGTAGGAAAGGGGGCGGTCCTGGGGGTTCTGGGTAGAGCCAGCACATGCGAGGTTGGGCACAGCTGTGCCGTTGGGGTGGAGTGGGGACTTGGTGGCCTCTAGCGGGGCACAGCGCACAGCTGGTAGGGGGCTGGCATCACCACAGTTTCATAGACGCCAATGGTGCTGGGCCGGGGCTGGCCTGCGGGCACCGAGAAGCTGAAGCGCTGCAGGAGGCAGGTGAAGAAGAGGAAGAGCTCCATGCGCGCCAGGGGCTCCCCGAGACACGCGCGGGGGCCTGTGAGGGATAAGGAGTGGAAACAAAGTCAGCTGGGGCCAGGGGGCCACCTCCCAGCCAGCCTGTCACCCCAGCGAGGGCACAGGGAGCCAGGCCCCCACGCACCTGCTGAGAAGGGCATGAAGGCCTCAGGCTTCACAAAGCGGCCCTGGGCGTCCAGGAAGTGTGCAGGGTGGAAGCGGAAGGGCTGCTCCCAGGCGCGCTCGTCCTTCAGCACTGACGACAGGTTGGTGAGGATCGCGGTGCCCTGGTGGGAGGTGCGTGGTGAGTGGGGCTGGGGACACTGAGGCTGCGCACCACACACACAGATACTGCCATAACCTGTGAGCATCCTTTCATCTGACCCTGGGCCCCAGGACCTCCCGGGTGCTGCCTTTGTTGCCCCAGTAATCAAGGGAAACATTGATGAGTGCGCCCGCAGGCCCCACCTCCCCTGTGCGGGGACCCTTCCACTGGCCCTGTAGGTCTACTTTCACCTGGCCCAAGAGATGCTGAGCAAAGAGGTTAACTTTCCTTCTGCATCCCTCACCCCCAAGATTATAACATGGCGGTCCTGAATTGTATTACTTGCACAGAATACAGGACCAAGCTGTGGATGGCAGCTGCATGATCACTGGTCTGTTCTAGCATGCTAGGACTTACCTTGGGGATGAGGAAGCCCCGGATATCAATGTCCCTTGATGTCATATGCGGCACGCCCAAGGGGGCAATGTCAGCAAAGCGCTGCACCTCATGGATCACCGCGCAGGTGAAGGGCATGCGGGCCTGGTCTCCCATCTCTGGCCGCTGGGCCTGCCCGATCACCTCATCGATCTCCTGCTGCACGCGGCCTGGGTGGACAAGCAGAGACAAAGCAGTCAGTCCCCAGACCTGTGCCCACCTGCCCCGGCCTCTGTGTGAAGAACTGAGACCAGGTGAGGTCACCATAACTCCCGCTGAAGTGAAGCCTACACCCTGATTCCACTTTTCCTCCCTCCCTCTCTCCTCCAGTCCCAGCTGGGCTCACGCTGCACATCCGGGTGCAGGATCATGAGCAGCAGGGCCCATGAGAGCGTGACCGAGGTGGTCACCATCCCTGCGGTGAACAGGTCAGCCACCACCAGGCGCAGGTTGTCCTCATTGAAGCTGCTGTCGGGGTTCCCCTTGGCCTGTGCAAAGACAAGGGGGTTCTGGGCTCAGGCAGCAGAGGACAAGGCTCCAGACAGTCTTCACTGTCCCCTCCAGCCTGGAGCCTGGCCTCCCTTCCACAGCACCCTCAGGCCTTGGCCCTGGCCAGTCTGTGGGGCAGGGTGGTCACAGCGCACCTTCTCCAACTCAGCCAGGAAGGCGTCAGTCAGGTCTCGGGGTGGCTCAGCGGGGTCCCGGGTCATCTTGTGCTCTGCCAGCAGCTCATCCAGCAGGGCCATGAAGGCTTTCTGTGCAGGGAAGAACTTCCCAGGCAGCCCGGGGATGCGCAGGAGCACGGGGACTGCGTTCAGCAACTGTGAGAGCACAGATGGGAAGAGTCCTTCTGTGTTCACTGTACACCTTCACCATTCTCTGATCCTGCCACCTCCAGATGTACACATCCTCTGCCTGTCCCCACCTGTCGCCTGTTCCTCTCCCCAGAGGCAGCCTCCTTGCTTTCTCTGGCTCCAGGCACAGGGGGACACAGGTGGTCACTCTCCAGAGCCTTCTGGTCCCAAGTCCCTTCTGTCATGCCTCTTGCCTGAGTTTCCCCAGATCTAGGCTTGACCTGTGACCTCTCCCCATGCATTGGAATGCAAACCCTTCCCCTGGAGCTCCAGCTGCAGGAGCTGGCCCTGCAGAGGGTTCTGAGTCCGCACCACAGTTATGATGCTGGACTCCTCATTCATTTTGTTCTGCAACAGCGCCAATATTCTGTCCAGGGAGGCGTCATCATACTCGAAGCGGCGTGCGCAGATGAGGGAGGCGATCACGTTGCACACGGCTTTGTTCAGGAGAGCCTTGGGGCTGAACGGGTGACCTGGGAGTAGTAATGACATCAATGCATTGACCTCCCCTCAGCCCCCCCAGTCCCCCCCACCCCCTTCCTCGTTTTGCTGTGTCCCTCCTGCCAACACTCACCGGAGTGGTCAGCGAAGGCCTCACAGAGGCAGCCGGCCTCCTGGGTCACCCATTGCTCCAGGGACTTCTTGCCCAGGCCGAAGTTGCGCAGGGTGGACACGGAGAAGCGCCTCTGTTCGCGCCAGGCGTGGCTGTGGCGGGCCATGAACAGCCCTGGGAAGAGGGGGATGGGGAACTGGGTGTGGCTCCAGATACATCCAATCCGTGACCTAGACAGGACCCAGGCACCGCCTATCCACCAATCAGCGACCGGGGCGTGACTCGGGCCGTCCTCCTCCAATCACATTCCTGCCCCGCCTCCCACACGCTGCAGGTGTGCCCGGCCACGCCCCCTGCCTTCCAGACCTGCTCCCTGTCCTCCCTCCCGAGCCCCGCCCTCCGACCTCCCAGGGCCCCTGTCCTCAGGTCACTGTCCCCAGGTCAGTCCCCAGGCTGCCGCCCCTGCCGCCCTTTGCCTTGAGATCTGGGTCCGAAGCCCAGGTGTTCCAGCGCGGGCATGGGCGGGCGGTCAGCGGTGTCCTCGCTGTGCTTCACCAGCGCCTCGCGCACGGCCTCCAGCCCGTTCACCACCACCGCTGGCCTCCAGCCCAGGTGCAGGCTGACCACCTCCCCGAAGCGGCGCTGCAGCTGCGGGGAGCCCGGCGTTCTCCTCAGACAGGGCCCGGTGCCACCCCGGCCTTTGCCCCGCCACACGTTGGTCTTGGAAAGCCCAGACTGTGATCAGGGCCTGCGGTGCCCTCCCCAGGGAGCCTCTCAGCCTCTGGGGCTCAGCTCCCTGCGCGGCCTGTGGCTTCCCAGCACTGGCTCTGTGTGCTCCTCACCTTGTAGAAGCAGTATGGCAGGTTCTGGAAATCCATCTCCAGCAGGTTGCCCAGCCCTGGCAGAGGCACAGGGCCCGGCGGGTAGTGAGCAGCCCAGCGCTGGCGCCGGTGCATCAGGTCCACCAGGAGCAGGAAGATGGCCACGGCCACGGCCACGGCCCACAGTGCTTCCCCTGTCAGCAGCCCCATGGCGGCCTCCGAGCTCCCTGGATTCCTCCACTCCAGTGCCAGGACTGGACTGGGCACTGAACCAATCTGGGAGGGTCCCTTAGCTGAGGCTGACCTTTGTCTCTGCCAGGAATCCACCTGGGTAGGCGTCCATGGTGCTGGGCAGTGCCAGGGCAGCTCCCAGGCTGGGACAACTGCAGAGGTCTCTGTCCTTCTCCCATTGCTATTCAGAGCAGCAGGGAGCAGGCAGACCTGGCAGGGGGCCATCCCTCCTGCATCAAGCACTGCCTGCCTGCTCACTTCTCACAATAATGGTCTCACTTCTCTGTCCCCACTTCTGCTCTCCCCTAACCCCGTCTATCCCCACCTCTCATGTGCCGCAGCATCTCCCCAGTCGCGTCCTTTCCCTTCCTCCCTCATCTTAGAAAACAGGTTGATTGTGCCTGCTCCTGAGGACCCTGCCTTCCCTCTTTGTCCTCTGTGCTGATTAAAGGGAGCGTGGAGTGGAGATCACAGAGGGAGATTTCCTCCATCTGTGTCGGTTCTTGTCTCAGCGCCCTCATGGAATGCCCAAGGCAGGCTGCTCTCCACACCAAGAGCTTCACTGGGCCTCACAGCTCCTGCCGCCCAAGGACCAGGCCTGGTGATGGCCTGCTGGCCCCAGGGCTCCGAGTTCTCTGGGCACATGGCCTGTGTGAAGTCTGTGGGTCTTTCTCCCTGTCTAGAGGAATGCACCAGGGTGTGTCCTGCAGCAGGGCTCTGATGATGTTTTCTCATCCTGACCCTTCCCCACACCCCACAGCCCTACTCGCCAATCACATTACATTTCCAGCTGAGTAACTCTTCCTAAGGAGATACAAGTGTCCCCATTAGGGACCCCCAAACTCTTCTCCAAACCATGCATTCCTGTCCCCTATCCTCCCACAGCACACTTTCCATGTCAGACTCCTCACACACATACCACTCACACCTCTCCAGACATCTACCTGCCCGCCCAGACACCTACAAACCACCTGTGACCACACAACACTCACATGCACAGACTGGCTACACAAATGTACATGCAGTGCTCTGATGAACAAGCCTCTGTTCCCAGCACACTGTGGGAGCCCTGCTCCTCCAGTCTGAAGCTTCCTGGGTGTGGCCTCTGCTCCCTGAGGACTGGGCCCCACTGGGGCCTGGCCCTGCCCATGTTCTCTTGTCCGATCCTGGATATGATGAGCAATGGTGAAGTTCTGAGCTTATGAGTCATCTTGATGCACCTAATGGTAGCACTGATTACTGGTGTGACTTACCTCTCCAGTTGTCGATTTTTTCTTTTCTTTGTCTGCCATGGGGCTTGAACTCATGGTCTGGGTGCTGTCCTTTTTTTTTTTTGCTCAATGGGAACATTCTACCATTTTGAACCTCGGCTCCACTTCCTGTTTTTAGGTGATTAATTAGAGATAATGGTTTCCTGGACCTTTCTGCTGAGACTGGCTTGATCCTGATTCTTAGCTCTCAGCCTCCTGAATACATAGGGTTATAGTAGCCACCCGGCCTGATTTTTTACCTCAAGCATTAGCTTGGTTCTCATTTGTAACTTCTATCTCATCTTGAAAATTTCTAAACCTTTAATTGTGTGTGTGTGTGTGTGTGTGTGTGTGTGTGTGTGTGTGTGCATGCGCGCACCAGTACTGGTGCTTAAACTCAAAAGCATTGGTGCTGAACCTTGGGTCTTTCACTCAAGGCTGCTCTGTAGCAACTGGGCCAGGCCTCCACTTCCATCTTTCTCAGTGGTAAATTGAAGTCAAGTATGTCATGGACTTTCCTGCCTGAGTTGGCTTTGAACCTCAATCTTCTGATTTTAGTCTCGTGAGTAGCTAGGGTTATAACAACCTTTGGTTTTTCTTTCTTTTTTTTTTTATATATGTTCACTTTAATTCTCAACACATTTCAGTGAGCTTAGTTGAAATCTTAGTCTAGTGACTTCAACATCAGTTTCCATTAATTGCTTATTTTTCTGTTATATTCTTTCTTTTTTATTCTTTTTTTTTTTTGGGTCCAGTCGTGGGGCCTGAACTCTGGGCCTGGGCACTGTCCCTCAGCTCTTCAGCTCAAGGCTAGCGCTCTACCACTTGAGCCACAGCACCATTTCTGGCTTTTTTCTTTTTGCTTATGTGGTGCTGAGGAATTGAACCCAGGGCCTCAGGTATGCAAGGCAAGCGCTCTACTACTGAGCCACCTTCCCAGCCCCTCTTTTTTTCTTTTTGAGAGAGGTCCTTTTTTTTTTTTTTTTTTTGGCCATGGGGCTTCAACTCTGGGCCTGGGTACTGTCCCTGAGCTCTTCAGATCAAGGCTAGTGCTCTACCCGCTTGAGCCATAGGGCCACTTCTGGTTTTCTAGTGGCTTATTGGAGATAAGGGTCTCATGGACTTTCCTGCCCAGGCTGGCTTTGAACTTCAATCCTCAGATCTCAGCCTCCTCAGTAGCTAGGATTACAGGCATGCGCCACCGGCACCGGCTTGAGACAGGTCTTGCTGTGTGGCCCAGGCTGGCCTTGGACTCTTCCTGTGCCAGCCACTGGAATGTGGCATACACATAACAGGAGACCCAAAGAAGAGCAAGGTGTGAAAATTATGTTTCAAGAAGTAGTATGAGTCATCCAATCAGGCATTGTGGTTTGGGCTTGCAATGCCGGCTAAGTAGGAAGAAGCAGGAGGCCCCATCTGAAATAAACAACCTAAAAAACGAAGGCCTAAGAGGGTATCTCACACGTGGGAGATCATCCTGGCCCATCACCTCCCTCACTGCTCCACATCTTCAGGGTGTCATATGAAGAGATATATATGGCCTCTGGGTCACATGGGTTCAGTACGGCCTGATCTCAGTGCCTTGAGCTTAGGCGAGTTCCTGTCAGAGAAAGGTCATTAGGCAAGTTTGGAGTGTTCAAAGTCCGTGCTTTGTTGGACCTTCCTCAGCTGATTACCATGACCTGCTGGCTCTGGCAGCGGGCTGCTGGGCAGGGCCTTTGCTTGCCTTTAGTTTTCATCTACTCCAAGGTGTGTGGACCCTGCTGGGATTCAGACTCTGTCAGGATCAGTTTGCCCTCTTCCTAATCTCAGCTACCAAGATGATTCCTTCCTACAATACCAAGTGCCAAACAATCTCTCTGTATCTAGAGGCTACTGCAGCTTCTGGCACAGGCAAGAGTCCCATGTCTCCTGAGCGATCTAGGTACTATCTGCAGCTCCAGAGGACAGGAGAATAGCCGGAACCCTGCCCAGTGTCTCTCTAGGACTCTGTCCTGTGGCTGTTTACTTTTGATGATCTTTATCTGCACCCTTCACTTCAGGCAACTGGCTGTGGAGTAACAGCCTTACCGTGGGGGTGAGCCATCACATCAGGATAACCACATTGCTCTGAGAGGCGATGAGAGCTTGGTTTGGGCAGGATGAGAAGGGGTGGCAGGCTGAGCTCCCATTCCTGCATCTCTCGTGGGGAGAGGCCACGGCTGGTCTGGGGTCAGTGGGGAGAAGTGACATCCTCTCTGAGGCTGTATAAACAGAGCCAGTTCTTGAGGCGCTGACACACAAGGAAATGGAAAGCAGCAAGGAACAAGCCAAATAGACAATTCCCAGACTCTGGTTGGTTGCAATTGACCAAAATGAAAAGAACCACCAGTGGAGCTAGAGCATGGCATGGAACCATGGGTGGATCGCTGCCCCAGAAATACTGCCCTGAGTGCTGCTCACCCACAATGGGATCCAAGAGGAAACAGGGAGCCTGTCAGAGTTTTCACTGCTGTGACAAAGTCCCGGAGAGACCCAAGGGAGGAGGGCTGGCTCACATTTTCAGAGGGTCTGGCCTTAATCAGTGGACTCCATGTTTGTGGGTCTGTGAGGCAGAGCATGATGGCCTGAGTCATGTCGTGGGGAAGCAGAGAGACACAGCCAGGCGTCTCCATGTCCTCGTCTTCTGTGCAGGGTCCCTGCTGATGGGGGCCATGTTTGGGGCAGGTCTTCCCACGTTAGGTACTCCTTTTTGAGAAACACCCACCCAGAGACGGAGATGTACCTTGCTTGTCCTCTTAAGCTTCTCAGTCCAATCAAGCTGGCCATTGAGATCAATCCTGAAGGATGGACTGAGGTCAGCTCCTGAGGGACTTGAGAAAGACCAGAGGAAGGGCAGCAACCTTAGTGCTGAGTGTGGGAGAGAGAAGTGTGTGTGTGAAGCACAGGACCCACGGCTCACCAGGGGACAAGCCCAAGAGGCCATGCGGGTTTCAGACACAGCAGCCGCTTTCTGGAGATACCTCGCTCCCATAAAAGTTGCTGTGAGGGCTGGGAAGGTGGCTCAGTGGTAGAGCGCTTGCCTTGCATGCTCAAGGCCCTGGGTTCAATTCCTCAGCACCACATAAGCAAAAAAAGAAAAAACCGGAAGTGGTACTGTGGCTCAAGTGGTAGAGTGCTAGCCTTGAGCTGAAGAGCTGAGGGACAGCGCCCAGGCCCAGAGTTCAGGCCCCACGACCGGACCAAAAAAAAAAAAAAAAAAAAAAAAAAAAAAAGTTGCTGTGAGGTTTCTTTAGCTTGGTAGGTGGCATTGGGTCTTCTTTTTTTTAATAGCAAGTGGAAATGTCTTTTCCAGAGGGAACAGAAGGAGGAGGAAGAGGAAGAGAAAGGGGAAAAGGAGGAGGAGGAGGTGGAGGAGGAGGAGACTGGGCTTGATGGTACACACATGTAACCCCAGCTACTCAGGAGGTAGAAGTAGTAGGATCATGAGTTGGAGGCCAGCCTGGGCTACAAAGTAAGTTTGAGGCCAAATGGTCTAAATAGTCATTACTTGTCCCCAGAACAATAACAAATGTACTAGGCATGTTAGGAATCCCCTGTAACTCCAGCTACTCAGGAGGCATAGGCAGCAGGATCTTGAGTTTGAGGCCAGCTTAGGCTAAGTTTTGAGCTCTTCTCTCAAAAACAAAAATAGATCTAAAAACGGTAGCTCGTGCCTGTAACCCCAGTGACTCAGGAGACACAGGGTAAGAGGACTGCAGTTCAAGACCAGGCCAGGCAAATGCTTAGCAAGACCTCCTCATCTGAATGAATAAA